AGTTGGGTCCAGCAACCCTGCATAGCCTTCTGATTACAAAGTAGAGCCAATTTAATTAGCTGGCAAGCATTCCTGGGTCCTAGCACTGTGCGGAGGGGGCTACATGAGAAACAGAAGACAGGGTCCCTTTCCGTGAAGAAGAAAGCAATGTATTAATGGTGACAAGCATAGAGGATTATGGGAAATAAGCTAGGTGTGATGATGGTTGTAGAGAAAACCTGTACAGTGGAACACTGGAATGACTGTAGGCTGATGGACTTAGAGATGGGACAGCATAATTCAATTTAGCAAACATGTATGAGTCACCTGATATGTAAAAGGCATTGTGCTAGTTAGAGAGAGGCAGAAAATTTAAAAACAACACAAAAAAACAGTTCCTGCCCCCAGGATCTGACAGTCTACTAAGGGGGTGTGACATGAGTACAAATAATTATAATACAGGGTCACATATGATGGGGAGAAAGGAGTGATTCAATCAAAGTGCTCTAAGAAAATTCAAGGAGGGAGGGAACATTTCAAGCTGAGGTACCAAAGAAGAAAAGAAAAAAAGAAGGAAGGAGGGAAGAAACAATTATGTGGCTTCCATGCAGAACTACAGTAGGAGAGATGGTTAAACTATTATTTACTAAATCTGTATGACCTTGGTTTTCTCATCTCTAAAATGAGGGAGCTGCATTTGGAGACCTCTGAGATTCTTCTACTTCTCTGTGGATGTTATTTGAGAGCTCAGTGTTGCGGTTTTTCTCATCTTCTCCTTCTGATCCTGAAATATGTTGGTGTGACATCAGGGCATGGAGTGGCTGTCTAGGGGAGCCAGGACTAGGAATCTAGGTACACAAGTGAGCTAGACAGGTCTGGACAAGTAAGGGGTTCAGGTCAGCAGGTCATCGAAAGTGACATCAGAGAACAGAGTTGATGAGCTCCCATCCTAGGGTAAAAGTTGTTTTCACTTTGCTATTTTTATCCTGCCTGCTCGATGTGGGCTTCTCTCAGCTCTCAGATGTTGTTTGTGGCCAAGGCTAGAGAGAGAGAGACCTTCGGATGAATCTTGCTCGTGACTAAAGTAGAAATGCTAGAATTATGTTATAAAGAGGGACGGTACAGTGCTTAGATAGTGTAAGGATAGGGCCTTCCAAATTCTCTCGATCACAGAGATGATAATTGAGTAGGGCTTGTATTCATGACAAGTAAGACAAGGAGAACTGTCTGATGGAGGACCTAATTAGTTAATTTGAAAGTATTTCCTAAATAATCACTCATTTTTATATAGCAGTTTGAGGTTTTCAAAGTACTTTACATACATTATTTCATTTGATCCTTACAATAATTAAGTGAGGGTAGAGATTTCTGATATTATTATCTCTGGTTTTTCAGTTGAGGAAACTGTAAAATTAAGTGACTTGACCAAAGTCATCCGATTAATGATGGAACCTGGACATCTGTTTGAGTTCTGCCTCCCAGTCCAGCAGTCCTCAGCTGCACCAAACATTACCTCTCTTCTCTGTGCTGGGGATACAGGGAAGTGTTTATTAAGTAACTTGGGCATATAGTAGGTGCTTAATAAATACTGACTAATTGATTGGTCTAGCATTGGTCTTATAGCAATTGATCAGTTCCCAAAATGAAATGGTCCCTGCCCTCAAGGAGCTTACATTCTGTCAGAGAAATAACATGTACAAATATAAGGACATATAAAATATGTTCAAAAGCAAATGAGAGAATTTCAAGGGGATGTGTTAGCATCTGAGAGGGTGGGGGGAGGGGTCAGGAAAGGCTTCGTGCAGAGTGTGGTATAAAGGAGGTTAGAGATTCTCATAAGTGGAGACAAAAAATGAGTGCATTCTGTGTGGAAAGGCACAGAGATGGGACATAATACCATATGTGGTGGTGTTGTTCCTTTGTTGGGAACAGAAAGGAAGGCCAGTTTGTCTGGACTGGAAAGTGAAGGAGAATGATTTATAATAAGGCTGGAAAGGTAGGTGGGAATCAGGCTGTGAAAAGCTATAAGTTCTCTGAGCTGTTTATTAAATGAATAAAATATAAGAGGAAAATATATTCATTGCCTTCAAGGAGTAATATCTTTGCTTTATAAATAATATCAAGGGAGGGACTGTTTTTTAGTTATTTTTGCATCCCCTGTAGTGCTTAGTACAGTGCTTGGCACTTAATAGGCACTCCATGAATGCTTGTTGAATTGTCTTAGAGAGTAATTAAATGCTAAGCTCTAGGGTAAGACGTATTGTAGGAAATCTGGAAAGATCAGGGCTGAAGTCCTATGCTGAAATATGCTGGCTGTATGACTGACTCTTGGAAAGTAACTTACACCTCTCAGTGCCCCTGGCAAAACCATCAGACTGAAAGCTCTAGAACATCTGCATTGATAGAAGGAGTTTCCTAACTGAGGAATTCCCTATACCAGTGAAATCACAAGTCAGGACAAATATAAAAGCTTGTGGGTATTGGCTAGAAATTCGGTAAGATTTCCTAGGTGGGAAAAAGAGATCATTGCAGGCTAGTATAGTTGGAAAGAGCCTGAATCTGCTCTCACAGAGAGGCTGAATGTTGCAGAGTTGTGGGAAATTGGATCAGATGTTGAAATCTTGGAATAAAGAAGGAAGGTCTGGAGAACTAAGACAGTAGAGCTCTAAGTAGATAGTGAAGGAAATGGGGTAGCATCTTCAGCAAAGGAGCAACATAATAAAAGTAATGTTCTAGATATTACTATTCTGTTGGTGGAATGGTTTGGAGGAGGAGAGATAGTAGAGGACAAGTGGTCAAATAAGCTGTATTTACAACTTATTGGGAAAGAAAAAGGGAAGAAGAAAAATGGGAGGAAAAGAGACCTAAATTGGGATGGCATTGGGCCTGGATAGGAACAGGTGAATCTGAGAGACCACATGAGGTGGTCATCAAAGATCACAGGCTTTTAGAGCTGGAAGAGACCCTGTCACCTCATTTTAAAGATTGAAAATTTTACTTAATAATTTTAAAGATGAAAAACTGAAATCAAGGTAATTGAAGTGAATCATTCCAAAGTCACACAGGTGGTAATTGTAGAACCTAGGTTCCTCTACTGGCAAACCCAATGCTCTTTCTCTGTACAATGGGGTCATGTGGTGACAGAGAGGGTAGATGGCAGGAATAAATGAGAATATCAACATTATAGGGTTAGAGAGTATTTTAGACCTGGAAGGGACCTTTGTTGTTGTTTAGTCATTTCAGTCACGTTTGACTTTTTGTGACCACATTTGGGATTTTCTTGGTGAAGATACTAGAGTGGTTTGTGATTTCCTTCTCCGGCTCATTTTATAGATGAGGAGCTGAGGTAAAGATGTTAAGTGACTTGCCCAGGGTCACACAACCAGTGAGTGTCTGAAGCCAGATTTGAACTCAAATCTTCCTGACTCCAGGCCTAGAGCTCTGTTCACTGAGCCATCTACCTGTGCCATTGGCATGGAGGTGATGGTTAAACTCAACTCACCAAGGATAAAAATGTAGAGAGAGAGGAACATAGGACTGGGAACAGAGATCAAAAGGACCTCCACAGCAGACAGTAGAAGATCCCAATAGTTAGGATCAGAGAACAAGGAAAGTACAATGAATTTTAAGGATGGACAGTCACCAGTATCAAATGCTGCAGAGAAGTCAGGAAGGAAACCTGAGAAAAGATCATGGAGTTTGGGAAGAGAGAATTCATTGGATCTGGAAGCCAAACTCCTGGTGGTTCAAAAATGAATGAACATATAATTGGAGACATTGACTGTAGATAACTTGTTCTTGGAGTTGGGCAGCAGAAGGAAAGAGACCAGAAAGTAGGTAGAGAAGATAATAGGATCAAGAGAAGGTATTTGTTTGATTTTTCTTTAATGTTGGGAAATCCAAGCATGCTTATTTGTGGAAGAGAAAGTGACATACTAGAGAAGAGAGAGATTAATTATTGAATTGAGGTCCTGGTAGAAGTGGAAAGAATCCATTGATTCATGTCATTGAGAAACTAGAAATTGTAATATTGGGGAAAAGTTAACAGGAAACCCAAAATATCAGCCTCTTGTAGCAGAGATTATACCAGCCTTGCAGATAGCCACCTACCCAAGGATGCTAGATATTCACATCAGGACCTAATAGTCAGCAATTTTGGGTGAGTTCCTGCTGTGTGCTTTGTCTACTACAGAAGTCCTGTGGAATATAGATATGGGGCTGGTCACAGCCCACAGTGATGAGGTGATATAATTTCTATATTTACTGCATGTCCCTCTAAATACAAATTTTAAAAAATAATTCATTGCACTACCTCTGAAGATGACACATAAAGTACATCAGACTTGGCAGCATTCTGGTTTTAGATGGAGATAATTCTGGTATAGAAACAATTTCCTTTTTCTTGTCACCTCTGGTGGAAAGATCCATTCTGAGCATCACAGTTTAGGAGTGACATTAAAAAAACCAGCATACATCCAAAAGATCCATATGGTCACGATCAGGAAGGTACTAGAGACAATGACATAGGAGGATCTGTTGAAGGAACACGGCTGTCTTCAAGTTTTTGAAAGGGACGCAAACATTGAAGGGATAAGCTGTGTTCTGTTTGGCTATAGAGGGTAGAACTGTTACCAGTGGAGGGAAAATGCAGGGAAGCCAATTTCACCTTGACACAAGGAAAAAAACTTACCACCAGCTAACCACCCCAAAGTGGAATGGGCTACCTTGACAGGTAGTTACTTCCTTTTTGCTGGAGCTTTTCAAGTGGAAATCAGGTGGCTACTTGTCCCAGATGTTGGAGAGGGTGTTCTTCTGCAGGGCTGGATTACATTAGATGCTTTCGAAGCCTCCATTCTAATGATGACATTCCAGTTTTCTGAAAGACAGAAATGTATGCCATAGAACCTTGGCAGGTGATATGTTAGGGATTGTCCCCTAAAGGGGTGAATGTAACTGGTCTGTTATCACACTTCATATCTCAGAATAATGACTTCCTTCTCTATTTCTGTCTTCTCTTTTAGAACGGCAACAAAGACAACTCTATGGACATGTTGGGTACTGATATTTGGGCTGCCAATACCTTTGATTCTTTCCGGTAAGCTCACCTTTCTTCCTGTTTTAAGAGAATGATATTCTTCTGTTCTCCACCCCCCAATTCTCCTACATATAGTGAATTCAGTACTTTGTAGACAAATGTTCATCTTGCCTCCTTCCCCTTTTGTCCTAGCAAAGACATAAGAACTTGGACCTCAGCAAAGGCTGGATGGCCACTTATCAGCACTAATATAGAGGGAATTCTCTTTCTGTCACAAATTGGATTTAATGACCTCTCTCTCAAGTTCTTTCCAGCTCTGACATTTTGTGAGCTGGAATTCATCTGCTTTCATGGCTGTTATGATTCCCAGTGGGGCTGTGCTGAGCTAGGTAGAAGAAACAGGTTTAATAAGAAGCATAGGCAGGGGCCTAGAAGAAGGAAGAAAGAAAAATTGGAAAGGAAATAAGATGTAGATGAAGAGAGAGAGGTCAGTGAGGAAAAAGAAGTAGAAGCAGAAAGAAAGGGATAGAGAGAAAATAGGATGTAGGTGAAGAGGAAAGGGAGAAAGAAGAAATAAGAAGGAAAAGAAGAAAAGCAAGGATAAATAGGGAGGAAAGGAAAATTGGAGAGAAAAGGTGGGAAAGTCAGTCAGCGAAAACTGATTAAGCATTTGCTTTATTTGTGGCACTGTGCTGGGGTCATGGAGAAAGAATAAAACAATTTCCACCCTCAAGGAGCTTAGATGGAAAAGAAAAGATTAGAGGAGAAATAGGGAAGGGGGAAGTGAGAAAGAGAAAAGATGGTATCTGGTGAAAGAGGTTAGAGAAAGGGAAAGGAAAAGAAGATGTGGCTGACAAAGGTAGTGTCAGTCCCACAGCGATGCACCATGGGTTCCAGCCCCTACTTGAACTTGTCTCCCAGGGAGTCATTTAAATTACTAGCCTGGTTGTTTAGTCAGTCAGCTGTGTCCAACTCTTTGTGACCCCATTTGGGGTTTTCTTGACAGAGATACTAGGGTGGTTTTCCATTTCCAGCTCATTTTACAGATGAGGAAACTGAGGCAAATAGAGTTAGTGACTTGCCCACCAGAAGTCACATAGCTAGTAAGTGTCTGAGACTGGATTTGAACTTAGTTCCTACTGACTCCAGGGCCCAGCCTTATCCACTATGCCACCTAGCTGCCCTAAGTAAAACAAGGGAATTATTTAGTTGCCCTTGATGAATTCAGTTCACCTGGACCAGGTGAGCTACATCCTCCAGACTGAAAAAAGTAGGGGATTTGATTGCTGTGTCCCTCACTGTCACAGGATTTGAAAAACAAAAGCAACTAGAAAATGGGCGAAGTGCCTCAGGAGTGATCAGTTCTCAAAAAAGAGAGAACAGTGTACAAACTATAGAACACAGAGTTTGACTTTGATTCCTGGAAAAATTCTAGAATGAATCATTAAGAGATAGTAAACATCAAGTAAAAGAAGTGGTGATTACGAAGAACTTACATGAATTTATCAAGAGGAGGACATACTTTATTTCTGTCTTTGACGGAGTTTCTAAACTAGCCTAGATTTTGGGAAAGCCTTTAATAAAATATAATCATTCTTGTGGAAAAGATGAAGAGAATATTAAATAGTAATGCAATTAGATGAATTTGCAACTGGTTGAAAGATCAGACTAAGAATATTAATTAATGGTTCAATGTCAGCTTGGCAGGAAGTTTCCAGTGAAATGTTTGGCCTTGAGCTGTTTTACATTTTTATCAGTAATTTGGATAAAGTCAAAGATTGTATTCTTATCAGTTTTGCAGTGAGAGGCAAGATAGAAAAAAATTCTAAGCCAGATTAAAATACAAAGCTTAATCTAGTTAAGATGAATTTCAGTAGGGATAGATGTAAAATTTTCTACTTGGGTTAAAAATATAAACTTCACAAGTATATGGAGTATTCATAAGCATAGGATGGGGAAGGAATGGGTAGATTATACTTTGAAAAAAAGATCTGAGGGCTTTAGTGGACCACAAATTCAGTATTAGTAAGCATTGTTATATGGCAGCCTAGAAAACTGATGTGAACTTGGACTACATTAAGAGAAGCACCTGTTATTCTGTTATTCTGAATACCATCCTGTTTATTTAACTTAAGATTCTATTAGCATTTTTGGCCGCTATGTCACACTGCTGACTCATGTTGAGTTTTTAGTGTATTAAAACCATTAAGTAATTCTATGTTAATTGTGGTCTAGTTCCATGTCCTCAATCCTGGGACTTTTACGATTGATTTTTTTAATCGTTGTTTAAGACTTTGCATTTATCCCTATTTCATTTCATCTTCTTCGATCTGGTCCAGTGTTCTAGCTCAGTGCTTCTTAAACTGTGGGTTGCAAGTGGAAAGAGTTTAAGAAGCCCTGTACTAACTCATCTACACCTTTGGATACTTATTCCATCATCTAATGATACCTGTCATGACAAATTTAATAGCATACTATCTATACCTTTAACCTACTTAATGACACTTTTTTTAAATTTTTATTTAAAAAAATTTTTTTTCCACGTGCTTTTGAGTTGAAAATTTTTCTCCCTTTTTCTCCCCCCCACCCTCCTCAAGATGGCGCACAATCTGACATATGCTTTACATTTACATACCCATTAAACATATTTTCACATTAGTGAAGTTGTAAGTAAAAATTAAAACCAATAGGAGGAACCATCAGAAAGATGAAACAAAACTCAACAGAAGATAAAAATAAGTGAGAGCAATTCGACTTTCATAGTTCTTTCTTTGGATGTGGACAGCATTTTACATCCTGAGGCCTATAAAGATGTCTTAGATCCTTGTAATGCTGAGAAGGGTTCAGTTTAACATTCTTAGTCATTGCATAACATGGCTGCTATTGTGTACAAAGTCCTCTTGGTTCTGCTCACTTCACTCAGCATCAGACCATATAAGTCTTTCCAGGTTTTTCTGAAGTCAGCCTGTTCATCATTTCTTATAGCACAATAGTATTCCATTACATTCATATACCACAACTTGCTCAGCCATTCCCCAATTGATGGGCATCCTCTCAATTTCCAATTCTTTGCCACCACAAAAAGAGCTGCTATGTATATTTTTGTACATGTGGGTCCTTTTCCCATTAATGACACTTTTTTTTTAACAGACTAGGTTCAAGGGAAGCACCTTTATATACCCCACTAGAAAACTCATAAGTCAACATCAGTCCATTAATTACTATTCATTAAATCCAGTTATCGTACTAGTTCTGGATTCTCTTTATTATCTCACTTCTCTATCTTGTACACAGTCTTGTTAGACCATGCCAAATGTCTATTGCAATCCAGTTATTCTTTATCGGGGGTTTTTTATTTAACAGTTTTGTAACCCTGGATGTTTGCTTGTCCTGAGTCCTTCATCCCCTCTCTGGTATACCACAAATTCACCACAGTGGCTCAGCAGTCAGAAACAATCATAAGTTCTTTCAGTAGCCTGGTATGTAATTGTCCAAGATTTGATGTTGATTTGAAGTTATTGAGGATTGTGCCAAGCTTTTTTTTTTAATCTCCTCACTTATCTTGGGTTTCAATTCCCCATTATCTATTTATGTGCTATATTTCTCAGCCTAAAGATAATTCTCCTTAATAAAGGTAACAAGAACCAAAAAAGGAGACGAGTAGTTGTACCTTCTCTCCCTAATCTGTAATTCATGATCCTCGTCATCATCCCATCTACCCTTAGCAGCGGCAGACTTTCCCCATACCTCAAACATAGCATTAAAGGTCATTGCAGTTGACGTTAGCATTTATCATGTCTCAGGAAGTTCTGAGCTCTAGCATTCACTGACTCTCTTTCAAGAAGTTGAGAGCTCTTTGTAACATACCATGTTGCTCAATGAAAAAAATGGTTTTTAGAATTAGATTTTATTCTTAAAGAGCTCAATTTAATTAGTTAAGCTTGTATAATCAATCAGCAAGTATTTATTAAGCACCAACTGTGAGCCAGGCTTTGTGCTAGGCACTGAGGATACAAAAATAAAGAATGAAACAATCTCCATTCTCAAAGAGCTCATATTCTAAGAACCTACTATGTGCCCAGCACTGGGTTAATCACTGGGGTGGGGGAGGGGAGACTTGGGGGGGTAAAAACAGCATGGGCGCGGCCCATTAGGAGCTAGGAGCAGAAATTGGGAAGGAAAAAAAGACACATAAGCATGAAATGATAGATAACATATAATGAAGAGCTGAAATATGTAACATGAGCAATTCAAGAACAGGTTGATAGTCAGAAGTTTCTTGTGTGTCAACTTCAGGAAGCATGAAAAGAATTGGAGAAGGAGTTATCTAATATGGGCTAGACTTATCAAGGAAGGTGGGATTTCCCAGAAATTTACAAAAACCTTACAGACATTCATTCAGCCCTCTTAAGAGGCAGTTTTCAAATGAGGAAACTGAGTCACAGAGAATGGAAGAGATTTATTCCATTATCACTGGCCAAAAATATATATCTTTTTCATGAAGAGGGTAAATTGGAAGGAAAAATAAGGCCACCAAAGTGATCCATACCCATTGCACAAATGAGTCATTTTAAAAAGAAAGTCCAGTTAGGTGCATCTTCAGGAGAGAAAATATTCCCGCTCTCCCTGCTCAAAGCAATAGCAACATCTCCTGGAGCCCCACCTCTTCCAATGCAACCCTCCTGATTATCCTGGTGGGCTTGCTGGGCTCAACAAAAGTCAGGCAGACTCTCAGAATCTCCATATAGATTCACAACGCCCTGGCGAAGTCATGGTTCACCTGAGTTCACCAAGGAGCAATTGTCTATAAGAGAGGAATGTTGCCATCTTGTGGCTTTGCCTAGAAATTTCGCCTTTGCCAGACTTATCTTGGAGCAAGAATGTAAAACTTGGAGATTCCATACAGCAGCAGAAGTCCAGAGGGAACTTCATCCCATTGGAAAAAATATTGACCATAAGGATCAGCTATTTCAGAACAACCTGCTCCTCCTACACAAATTCCAAAAGCTCTCAAATAGTTTGCATAGCCCTGGGATACAGATCTCCTAACCATCAGCCATTTGTGCAGAGTTGAGTGGTCCATGGCTCACTGCTGCTCTGAAGAAACCAGAGAGGGCTGGTATGGTTTATAAGGCTGTGATGCCACTGCATGATGAAGTCCAGCACATTCTGGTGCCAAACTGCTGCTGTAATACAATGGAGAGAACACTTGCTATGGAGTTAGAAGGCTTGGGTTCCAGTCTCATCTCTGATTCTTGCTATCCTCCTGTGACAGTGGGCAAGACACTTAACTTCAGTGAATCTCAGTTTCCTCAACTATAAAAAGTCAGCGGGGAGGGGGTGTGGTGGTGGTGGTGGTGAACTAGATGACTTCTGAGGTTGACTCTAACTCTACATCTCTGGCTTTACACCTACCTTCCCACATAGCACCTCCCCAATGTTGCTTTCCTTCCTCTCTGACTTTGCTCTTGTTTTTCCCATTACCTGGAATTACCTGAAATGCCCTGTCCACCTACCTCCACCTGTCCAAACCCTGCCCATCTTTTAAGGTCCAGCTCGAGCACCACCTCTTCCAATGAAACTTCCTGATTATCCTAGCCAGAAATGATCTCTCTTCCTTCTCTGAAATCCTGTAAGGCTGGCCAGTACAGTGTATAGACTGTTGAACCTAGTAGAGTCTAGAAGACCTGAGTTCAAATCATGCCTCAGATACTTCCTAGACATGTGACCCTGGACAAGTCACTAAACCTCTTAGTCTCAGTTGCATCTGTAAAAGGTGGATTATAATAGCTCCTATCCCACAGACACTTAATAAGTGTTTTTTATTGACTGATTTTTGGGGCAGCTAGGTGGCTCAGTGGATAGAGCTCCAATCCCAGAGTCAAGAAGACCTGAGTTCAAATCCAGCTTCAGATACTTACTGACCCTGGGCAAGTCACTTAACCTATTGCTTCCATTTCCTAATCTATAAAATGAGCTAGAGAAGGAAATGGCAAACCACCCCAGTTTTGTTTTTTGGGTTTTTTTTTTGCCAAGAAAACCCCAAATGGGATCACAAAGACTTAGACACGTCTAAAAAAACATTGATTTAACGTGTCCTATAGAGTCATCTTGTTATTACTGTAATCCTGCTTGTCAGCATTACAGCTTATCAGTTCCTGTCCTAAAATGTGTCACTCAGAGATGAATACAATCCTCCAGATATGATGTGCACAGGGTAGAAATACAGAAGCATCCTTACTTCCTAATTGTAAATTGTTCCTATCTTCATTCAGCCTACAAAATTACATTAATTTTTTTGGTTGCCACATCACATTTGTCATCTTTTATTTGCCTCAAGGTCTAGCACAGTTCTGTGCACAGAAGAGGGGCTCATGAAATAATATTGTTTAAAAGAACGAATGGACTGATTGCCCAAGATTTGGAGAGGAGATTTAATCCCAGTGAGTGGGATTACTTGTTGGTTGAATTCATAGACTAGAGGAGACTGGAAGGTCCTCAGTGAGAGAACCTGGACACATCATGCTGTGTTGTTGCTTTTCTTAGGTAGATAAAGCAGCAATCGCAGCAGTGATATTGGTGCGAATGCATCCCAGGCCTAAGAATGCCATCCATCCTGGGCATCCACACTTACCCAAGAGTAAGAATGTTCAGTGCTGATATTATGGTGGCTAAAGAACTACAGAGTAGTTTGTAGTCAGGCCAGGGAGGAATAGCAGGAGAAGATGCCAAAGACCCCAGCAACTCAGAGAGTAATAGAGGCAGCAAGGTTGAACCCAAAGCCATGTTCAACTTAATGAACATTTAATTAGGCATCTATTATATGCCAGGCAAGGTGCTTGAAACACGAAAACAAAACAATTCTTGCTCTTCAAGAACTTGTGTTCTACTGGGAGAGGAGAGATACAAAATGAATACAAATAAATATAATGCAGGGAAAATATATAATTGGGGAGATCAAGGAATGCTTCATGGTTAAGGTGGCACAAGCTGATCCTTGAGCGAAGACAAAGATTCTGAGAGATGACAAGGGAATTCACTGCAAGCATTAAGGATGACTTGCATGAACACGTGGAAGTGGGAGGAGTGTCAGTTTTGGAGACCAACAGGAAGTTGCATAGTCCACTTTATCTGGAATATAGAGTGTGTGGAGGGGGATATATGAAATCAGGCTGGAAAAGGAACAGGGAGTGAGGTTATAGAGGGTCTTAAATGCCAGGCTAATAAAACACCTCAGAGAAGTCACTGTGTTCCTGCATTCTTTGTTTATTCCATCAGTTTTCCAATTTTTGTGACTTCTTGACCACTTCAGATTTTCTTTCATGATCTCGGTTCCATGCAGGCAGGGTGTGATAGAAAGACCATGGGATTTAGAATGAAAAGACTTGGCTGAACCACATACGAACTGTATAATGTTGGGCAAATCCCTTCGCCTCTCTAGCTTTAGTTTTTCTTTCTGTTAAATGGGACCAGATTTGAAAGAAGAGGAAAAGGAGGGAGGGAGGGAGGAAGAAAGGAAAAAAAAGAAAGAAGGAAGGAATCCTTAAGACATCACTGTCAACATCAATGAGTTAATGCAATCTTGGGCAATGTTAAGAAACGCTAACCTAGAAGGTATAAGTGGGAGCAGCGTCTCTGTATTCTGCCCTGGTCAGAGCACATCAGGAGTACTGTGATCAGTTTAAGAAGAATACTGAAAAACTCTCAAGCATGAAGAAGGCTAGCAGAATGTTGAAGCGCCACTGTTCCATGCGTGTGAGCATCACTTAAAGGAACTAGGGATATTCAGGCCATGGAAGAAAAGACTCAGGGAACTTGCAATGACTCTTTTCAAGTATCCAAAGGCATATCTTGTGGAGGAAAGATTAACATAATTTGTTTTGCCCCACATGGAAGAACCATTATCCATAGATGCAATTTACAAAGAGACCAATTTAGGCTTAAAAGAGGAAAAACTAACAATCTGTCTGAAAGAATAATGGGCTGCCTCAGGAGGCAGTCAGTAGGTTCCTTCTCCTTGTATGTCACCACTGAGGCAGTAGCCTGTACCCTGCAGAGGACTCACATGGTTCTTAGGAATTTTGGAGAGGGTGAAATATGGCTTTCACACAAGCTAGAAACACGTCCAACCATTACCCTTCTCTCTCCCTTTGTAGATTGTACATGCTAGATGGGAACAAAATGGAAGTTTTCATTCTTTTTTCTCTGTCTCTTTTGCTTTTGCTTCGGGCTCAGATGTGGAAAAGGGAAGCTGGAAGATGGGGAAGGAATCAACTTGAACGACATAGAGAAAGTCCTCCCTGCCTGGCAGGTATGTGCATAGACAGGTGGTACCCACTGTTGGATGCCCCCATCGGTGAGGGGTGCTGAGTGAGTCCTGTTCTTTAGGGAGTCATTCAGTAGTGTTTGTTAGAGTTCTGTGTGCTGTCATATGTGATATGTGTTTTAACATCCTGGTACAATGCTGGCTGTGGTTTTCTGGATGATGATAAAATCGACTAACCTCTTTTTGGTAATTGTTTCTCCCCCCCCCCAAAAAAAAAGACCATGTAAACAGCCCAAGGCAACACTCAGATGTTGTGCCTTTGGCCTGAAATAGGTGACACTAGGCCAGCCAGCCACCTCATTGATGGAACATTTTTGTCTCTCTTTTTCTTTCTTTCTTTCTTCCTTTCTTCTTTCCTTCCTTCCTTCCTTCCTTCCTTTCTTTCTTTCTTCCTTTCTTTCTTTCTTTCTTTCTTTCTTTCTTTCTTTCTTTCTTTCTTTCTTTCTTTCTTTCTTTCTTTCTTTCTTTCTTTCTTTCTGTTAGTCAGTGGGGTTAAGTGACTTGCCCAGGGTCACACAGCTAGTAAGTGTTATGTGTCTGAGGCCGGATTTGAACTCAGTTCCTCCTGAATCCAGGGCCGGTGCTCTATCCACTGTGCCACCTAGCTGCCCCGATGGAACATTTTTCCAGCACAGTGCTGGGGTGAAGGGATTGTTGCAATTTCTTAGGTGGGTGTAATTAGTTTTTAAGCTTTTAAAAAATTTAAGTTGTCACTAACACCTCCAGTTGCCTATGGTACTTGGTAAGCCTCAGGAGATGATTTGTTTCCAATTTCTGAATCAGGCCAGATCCCAGTAGGTGGAGAGAAGCTTGCAAACACAGATCTCTGTACCCTCAAAGGATCTGAAGATTCACAAAAGCAGCAGCAGATGCCAAGGGGGTGCATATTTGTCGTTCTGTGAGACATGCAATGCAATAGACAGTTCTAAAAAGGATTATGAACAATTGTGTTGTTCATCCTGACTCCCTCCTCCTTCATACCATGTGCATATTTTATTTTATTTATTTAATTTATCCTTCCTGTTCATCCTTTCATCATCTTTTATTCCCTTTCTCCCTTTTCCTTTATTATCTTCCCCCCTATATATACCTTAAACCTACTAATGGTATCCAGAGGCATTGTTTCTTGACTCAGCTAGTGGCCTTCGGACCAGGGACATTGCCAGCCTCTGGCTTTCTAATGCAGCAAACAGGGCTGAAGTGCTCTCTTGTATTGAGAGCTACTCAGACATTCCTGTGATGTGCCAGTGGCTGGGTTATCATCTTTGAATCTCAGACTGAGGAGGACAGCCTGACTTGTTGTCTTATCCCAGCTTCCCATTTCCGCTTTTACCCATATCCTTAGGCTGTTGAGCACCATCCCTACAAGAGAAGGTGAAGGCTCAGGCCTCAGCCTTGTGCCATCCCACACCCCTGCGGCTGACCCTTCCTGTTTTATACACACAGATCATCTAGTCTAGGGGTTCTTAACCTGGGGTCAATGGACCAACCTCCATGGATAGATTTCAAAGGAATGTGGTTGAGGAAAACATCACATCTTTATTTTTGCTAACCTCTAACTGAGGTTTAGTATGATCTTCAGTTTCCAAAAACACTGTTCTGAGAAGGAATCTGTAGGCTTCATCAGACTTCCAAAGGGATCCTTGACACAAAAAAGTTGAAGAATCCCCAATCTGGTCTATCCCCTTCACTTTATAGATGAGAAAACCCAAGGCCTAGAGAGGTTAAGTTGCCCAAGGTGACATGGCTGTTAGTGGCAAAGCCAACATTAAAACTTAGGTGTCCTTGTTCCCAGTTATGATTCCACCTTCATAAGCTGATTGTAGTTCAGTGACTTTAATTAATTGACAAGTGTGTTTTGAGTGACTGTTGTGTACATAGCGCTGAGAGGACACAATTCCTGTTCTTGAGATAGTGTTTCAGAACGGATTTTGTGGCACTAGCAACAAAACGAAAGTAACAGAAGCATTCTAGGAGAGAACAACGTCAATCCACAGCTTTATTAAGCACCTGTTTTGCCAGGCACTGTGGCTGGCCTTGAGGCCATAAAGATAAAATGAAAATTTGAGTCAACTGCAGATTTAATTCCTCTGTTGAAAGTCAAATATTAATTTAAGCAGGATATCTATGACTTTGTAATCCCCCACATAGCCTAATACAGTACCCTATTTATCCACCAAAATAAGCCACTTTTCAAGTACACACAGGGCTTAAAAGATACTAGTGAGCTCTCCATGGAAATCAAGAATTGGGTTTAGGTTTTAATTTCCTTGTCCTCTCTTTTCCTGTTCCTGGTTACTTTGATTTTCTTGAGAAATTCTGTCTGGCAGTAAGTGGGAATTTTTTTTTTTATACGTGTTTGTGACTGGCAGGTGATAATGTTCTCTTAGTTAGACCAGGGTCACTGAATGAACCAGGAGGCATTTGAAGCTCTACTGGCCTCGAGGCCACGTGTGGCCCGTTGGCTGAATCCAAACTTCACAGATTTGTTTGGATTCAGTCAGAGGGCCGCATTTGAGGATCTAGAAGGCCACATGTGGCCTTGAGGCCAAAGATTCCCCCACCTGGTAGGGGACAGCCAGTTTCAAAGAGTCAGTGCTTGAGTATCCTTACCTATTTATCCTTGGTAAACATGACTATCTATCTAATAGGAATTATTCCACTCCCCAGTGATGCAAGCACCTAGAAAATTCAGACGTTTTTCTTGATTTGGGGAAAAACTGCCTAACCCATATTAAGTGCAAGTCATAATGGAGCATGGAGGCTCCTGACTGCTCGGTCAGGCAGGGGCATGGTGGTAAAAGTTTAACAACCAGCTCTCTGAAGGGGGGAAGTGTATGAACAATATACTTTTAAGTTTAATTGGCATTATTAATATTTTCTCCATCACTTTCTTCATTATAGATAAATCAATGGAACAAACCAAGCCCTGATTTTTTAGCCTTTGCCAATTTCTGAGGTGTAAATGCTTACGCTGAAGCTTTGACAGTCAGCTCCCAAGAAAACTCCTGGCAGGAGACCTAGGTTCTAGTCCAGACTCCATTTCTTTATCTGTGAAATATGGATAGTAACAGCTGTCCTGCCTCTTTCACAAGACTTTTGTAAGATAAAGTGACATACTTGTGAAAGGACTCACTGGACTGTGGAATTTAGATCTTGATAAATCCCGATGCTTTTTTTATTTTTCATTTTTTGGCTAATTTCCCTAATTTTTCAGATAAGTAAACTGAGTCCTAGAGAAGGGAAATTGTCTCAGGTCAAATGTTTGCCAACTGATGGAGTTATCCAAGACAGTTACTCAAATGCTCACTTAACTCAAGTGCCAGTATAGGCTCTTGGCCATGTTTTGGGCCAGAAGAACATCCCTCCTCAAGGGTAGGAGGGGAACAAGGGCCTAGCCATATTTTTTTCCCCAATTTTTTATTCATTCTAGCAGTCTTTTGCACATTTCTCTGGTAATGACTTGCATGGTCCTCTGACAGAGTGTGTGGTTAATATTCTTGCAATTTTTCCACCAGGAAGGAGAAATGGACCCTAAGCCTGAATTTGTTAGCCTTCAAGCCCAACCTGTGGACCTCAGTCTGAAATGTAGACTCATTTTGTTAAGGGATGCATGGTCTATTCTGCCCCCTGGGGGTGCCTCGGAACAACTACATCCCCTGATGCTAAGAAAGGCTCACAAGCTGTGTGCCCTACTCATTGGTGAAACTGAGTTCAGGTTGCCATCTCACTGCCTTGACTTCATTTCATGTCAGACTATCCTGGCTCCCATCACCATTTGAGGTTCACCATGTGGAAACTATTTCTAGGTGAAACGGAGGATGTCTTTAGAAGAGATGTGGCTGATTCTCAATAACGTTCCATTTGTGACATTGTTTTCAGCAGCTGCAGGCTATTGCAAGAGCCTCTTTTCACCTTCTTTTCTTTCTCTAAGAGGCTGTGAGATTTAATAGAAATATGTTCCTAGATTAGGAACCAGGAAACACGCCTTGTTGAGCATTGAAATTTACTGTCAAAAGATATGGGTTTAAGTCTGTGCCCTACTTTTTGCTTCATTATATGACTTTTGGCACATCACTTCATTTTGGGACTGTTTCCTCATCTCTAAAATGAAGGGATTAGACTAGGTGATCTCTCTAAGGTCTTTTAAGGAGACAGAGTGGTACAATGGAAATTGTATTTGACTTGGAGTTAGAGGGACCTGGGTCCAACTCTTCCACTTACCTATGTGACATTGAGCAATTTACTAAATTTTCCTTGGCTCTAAAATAAAGAGGGGGTTGAATTAGATGCCCTCAAAGGTCCCTTCCATCTCTAATTCTATGATTCTATGATCCTATGATTTTTCCAGCTCTAAAATCCAGTGATACTGTAATTCCTAAGTCATGGCTCTACAACAGGCTTGTAGTATAGATGGGTAATTCACTGTTGACCCTTCCCTCCTGGGCCTGTATGAAATGAGAAGGTTAATTTAGATGGGTGTTTCCCACCCCACACAGATTGAAAATAGATAAAGTATCTAAATGGTCTACCAAGAACTCTCTTTCTTCTCCCTGCCTCAACAGAAGAGATTGGAAAAGACTTGGGAGTGAGGCAAAACAGGGATCATGGAAAAGGAACATGGACTTGGGAAGTGTAGAAGAAAGTTTTTAAAGTACATAGATTTGAAGAGGCAAAGACTTTTGGAAATAAAAGTTTTGTGGACCAGTAAAAATTTGCCATGGACCTGTGCCATTTAACAGATGAGTGTTTGGAAAACCCTGGACTCAATTATGTTTAACATGTTCCATCTCTAATATTCTGTGATCATTTCCTCTTTCCTTCATATGACAGTGAATAAACAAATAGTCTTGGTTTCCTAGGGCCCACACAAGGATGCTTAGAAGCCTTCACCCTCCTGTCTTCATTTGAAGCTAAATTTAGGTAATGATGTCCTCTCTACTGCCTCCCACCTCCCCTGCGTTGAGACCTCCTGCTTTTTACTC